GATAACAGAAAAATGCAAATGTTAAGACTGAAGCGCCTTTCATTCCTCTCTGAATTCAAATGGATGAATTCAAATAAATACAGATCTGTGTGTGTGTGTGTGTGTATGTGTGTGTGTCTCTGTGTTTGCACATGCAAGAGTGGGCGAATAGGAGGTGGAAGTAGCCGGGGGGGAGCAGCATTTTGGTCACAGTTTCACGCTTTATTTTGCTCACAGTGCAGACAAGCTTGGGCACAAGAAAAAAAAGGATGCAGCAAACACTTAGAGGGAAGTTTCAGATGACGTGTCGTGATCAGAGAACACGGTTAGCACACTCTAGGACCAATGTGTATTTTTCTTATTTTTTGAGGACAACAGGCTTTTTTTGGCCACAGAAGAGCAGAATTTTTTTTTTTTTTTTTTTTTTAATACAACTGGACCTCAGCTGATGTTATCACTCAGGCTACAGCTCAGTAGACTGACTCCTAGAAGGTAGATCAATAAAGATCCAAGGCTTGACTCTAAGTGCATTTTCTTTCAGTTTCACGCTTTTGCCAGTCTTAACTGAATCATGTCAACGGGCTCATCGGCAGCTCACGAAGCAGGAAGTGAACAGGAAGTGTGGATAGTCCAGTGGCAACCTCGCAGGAAGTTATTCTGCAACGGCAGCACACCATTTGGGAGTGCTGATGCACTCAACAGGGAGAAGTTCATCAACAGACCGGTTGCACCACTCATTTTAACACCAAAGCACACGTTGTGTCCTGAGTATTTTTGATCTATCAGTTTAAATACACAAAATGCGGACTAATAAATTCAACCCTGTCGAGATCTAAACACTCAGCCATCTCAGAAACACAATTAAATAGCTCTGCTATTATTCCCCTGTCATAGGATGTGTCATTAAGAAGACTTATATCATTGTTTGGAAACCAGGATTAAGAAGCTTGGCAACCTAACCAGACCTTTTTCACCTCCTCAGGCAGCTACAATCTGCTGGTAGAGCTCATGAGCCTGCAGAGCCTGGTTATGCAACAGGTCTGCTGTTAGAAAACAAGTGATGAACAAAAATCTCTTTTTAAGCCTGTTGCTGTCATGAAATGTTCTTATTCTTGCTTTCTGCAGATCATTATGTCATACTGTTTAATCATTTATCCATGTTACCTACAACAACTTTCAGGTCTCAGGCCTCCTTCTTGTTCACAGGAGTTGCACAGGCATATACGCACAGTGCTGAGCAATGCTAGACAGGCAGCTTCTTTAGCACTGTTGCCACAAAAGACATTGGCACAGAGCTGTTAGGTCTAATGGGTTTGAAGGGCAATAACAACAGAAAACAAAAAAAAAGCATGTGACTAGCAGACCAGCGTGAGGAGGAAGCGATGCACAGATGTGGACGGCCAACTTGGGTGTGTGCTCTGTCATGTTTCCTGCTCCTCTTCCCTCAGTTGAAGCCAAATCAGTGATTAGAAAGAGCTTCAGAAGCGACTCCCATCAACAAAGCAAAAGTGCTTTCACTTTTCCTGACCGGTGACTGTAAATCTGCAGCAAGCTGGGTGAAGGGCGGATGAATGTTGAGACCCAGAGTAAGAATGCACTCATGAGAAGATTACAATGCAGCACTAACCTGTGACCAGTACATACAGCACCGTAGGCTGACAACCTGCTGCACTCGCACACAGACACTCAGTTTCCCAACAAAGTCCAGCCATTTTAAAAGCAACCCCCTGGGGAGGTGTGTATCCCAGACAGAGCCAGTGTGGCAAACTATTAACACACACAGGAAACAGGCGAGACTGGTAGCCGACACAGGACATACGTCCAACAACAAAACACCAACTTTTTTTTTTTTAAACTCCCATTTAAAGCCTTTGTGTATCAGCTGTGAGAGGCCCTTTCCGCAGTTGTATTCCACCTACTCCTGTTTTCTTTTGAAGTTGGTGTTTTGGTCATGGGGTGGCAAAAAACTACAGCGCATTTATGCATCCGATGTTTCTGAATATCCCTGTTTTGGATTTAATCACGTCAGCTGAGGACAGAAGAGATGAAAGCCTATATTTTTCTCAGCTGTGCTGCCATCAGCCAAAATGCTCTGCGTCACAACTGTCAAAAATGCCCCGGTCATCCACCTGTGGGGTATGAAAGAACACTGAATATTTTGTGCTCTATTCGGAGAACTTTCCGTTTTTACTCAACCTCATTAGTGTTATCATCTTGAACCGCGAATGCATGAAACACGTGGCGACTGGAAAAAGCTCCTCATTGGTGATTCCTCAGGTCAGAACTCAAATTAGACACGGCTTCAGCAATCACAAGGTCAAAGAACACAACTGCACTAAACAGATTTGTCTTTGTGCCTATTTATACACAGTGATGGAGGCTGACTTAGCACTTTGGTGCAGGGCAAGTCGTTCGCTGGTCTGTAATGAGTAAGTGGCAGAGCAGGGACAGAGATCGATATGGAAGTGTAAATTTACACACTGCTCATAACTCTCATGTCAAGTTACACTCAACATACACACATAGACACAAAAGGTTGATTATTGACATTTATAGTATCTCAGAGCCAGCCCTAACATAAAGCTATCAAATGTAGCACTCAACATAAGATCAACAAGAGGAGGAGGCATCCCTTGAGGTGAAGTGAAACTGCTCGTCTGTGTGTGGCTGTGACTGTGTCTATGTCTGTGTGTGTGTTGGGGGGAGGGGGAGGGAGTTCAAAGTCTACTTGTTCTTATAGCCTGTTTGCATCAGACTAGGCTTGTCTCATAAGTGAATGCAGCTGTACAAAGATGCAACTGCCAAGCCAGAAGCAATTTAACTACGACCACTTAGTAGGGAGTTACATTACATGCATCTCGTCATGTTTGACTTAACTGCAATGCAGAGCCATTGACTTAAGTGTGTGTGTATATGTGTTCGCATGTGTGTCCAATCCATTCCTCAGGCAGTCAGGTCTGGATGCAGGATTGTAGGTCATGTCACTGGTTATATGGACATTGTTTAGGGAAGGCAGTGCAGACATTCAGGAAATGGATGCTGGCGACTCAGACTGTGTGTGTGTGTGTGTGTGTGTGTGTGTGTGTTGGCCCTTTCAACAACCTCATTGCCCTCTAAATGCAGACTCACACATGCACATACAAACTACTAAGAGTGCGCTTCGCTTTCTGCAGTCTGCCTGAGGGCAGCACAACATGGGAGCAATTAAACACCATCCTCTCTTATCAGCGGCTGACTTTCTCTGGGAAGAAAAAAACATAAAGGTCATTGGGAAAACCGTCGCTGTACGGCAGGAAGTTATCCTTCTCAGTGTGTTTATTTGTGTGCTTCCCATTTCCTGTCAAACACACAGACACTTTTGGTGGCACTCACAGGGCATGCAAATACACACACAGATCCCGCATGATGAAAAGGAGCAGTGTGAGCTCACCCACCAGAGTGGCCATGTAATTACACAAGCTGTTTAATTACAATGTGAAGTTCATACTAATGAAGCTGATTTAAAGGTACAGTTAATCTGACCCTCAGTAAATGGGAGTTTAGCAGGTGATAACACACATATGTGTTCTGTGTAGTAATAATTGTCACCTTCACTCATTCAGTTACACTCAATCAGATTCCCTCTGAGCTGCTCTCCAGACTTAAATCAATAACTTCAGTTGAGCAGTAGCCACCAGCTGTCTCTCTCTCTCTCTCTCGCTTTTTTGTCAACACCTCCTCCTGCCACACTTCCTGTTACAGTTGTGACTGTGAACAAGCACAAAAGAGATTCACTCAGCGGCTGATTGACAAGTCACTTCCCCGGGGGAAATGGGGCCATTGGCTGTAAGGTATTCTACTGGGCCTACCCCCATCCTCAGCCCCCATTAAGTTCAATTAATGGATCTCAAACTGAGGTCTGTGGACCTCAAAGGGGTCCGTGGTGAAGAATAGTTCAATTTTACTATAACTTTGCTGCAGCTGCTTTACATTTGCACAGAAACAGAGAGTGCAATGAGGCCGATTTTGATCGAAGATTCATTTTTTTGCACAACAATCTCATAAGGGACTCTCATCAGGACTCAGTGTGACCAACTGGGATTCAATAGCTGATGGGAGAGTTTGGGAGGTGATGAGTTAAAAGAACAGTGGGTATGTCAGACCACCGCCTCAGCTCCATAGACTGTAAAATGAGCATGATTACAGACGCAGCACCACTCACACTCTAGTCATGCCTTCCAATTTCAGAGGCTGCCACCCAGCAAGTGCCAGCACATGCACATTTACACACTCTCTTTCAATCTGCATTCAGTCTTAGCTCACACAATCCATAGGCTACTTATATCTCCTCATACGAATTCAAAAAGCTGCTGTGCTGCCCTAGCTTCAGGGTGCATTTCCAACAAAGGCAGTGAATGACACAGCTCTGAAGGAGAGCATCTCTTTGTGCTCGATTCATTTGCAAAACACATCCACACACACACACACACACACACACACATATAAGCAAACCCTCTTCAAAACCTGATTTTATCATCTACTCAGTCTTGCACATGTGAGGTGTTCACCAGACTCAGTTAGGTTAGGATAAGGTAAGACTGCAGGTAGCTGCCTGTGAGAATAATAATACAAAAATTGGTTTGGAGAGAAACGCCCATTCTCCTCCCTGCACCTGGCTGCAGCTGTCCTTGTCACTTCACCCAATGTTAAATCATGAATGCAAGCTGCTGCTTCACATTAAACACACTATTGCTGTGGAGAACTTGTGCCCCCCAACATGAAATCAGTCATATGGAAATAGTGTGGTGCAAACACATGCTTTGCCTTATCAATACTGTGCAGAGCACCACCCATGTCTTACAAAACAAGGTGTAATACTCTCCTCTGCAGCTCTACAACCTACTGTGTCCTACAACAGCAGAGCAGAGACAGGAAGGAGCGTGAATAGTAAAATGAGACTTTAGGTGAGCAGGGGGATGCATTTAACTGATCGCCAGGAGCCTCAGACACAATGTGGTCTGCGACAGACGTCGTAGGCTTACCTCAGCGCAACCTTCACACAGCAGTCGCCCTGGCTCGCCATTATCGCTTTCAAGGTTTGCCGACGGGATGTGGAATATTTCGGCTCTGTCGGGTTTTCAGTGTGTGTAAACCGTGCAGTGCTGGGTGTCTCAGGTCACGGGGAGCAGCCGTCAAGACCTGCCGGCGGTGAGCTGCCTCATCGGGACTCTGCCTGTCTTCTCCTGCTGCTTCTTCTTCTTCACCTCCGCTGTGGCAGTCATTTCTGGCTCACCGGTGTTTGTCACATCGCAGTGTTTTAGCCGCTTTTTCTCTTTCCGTGGTTTGTCTCAGTCGCTACATCCTGTTTAAAGTGCGTATGAGCGAAGCACGAGAGCGCTGCTCAAAACCCACAGCGGTCCTCTGTGAGAGACGCGATCACGCTGAATGAGCCGAGTTCGTAAACCGGAGGGGGGTAATGCTGCCTTCAGGGACTGTCGGACACTTTGTATTCACCGTTGAAGCACTCTGGCCGTGGGCTATGGCCTCTCCCAAATCCACACTGAACGATTAACTCTTCACTACAAAGAGTTATAGAGGATCATTTTGTCCAGAAATAATATGAAAAGGGAAAATGGTGAATAAAAAATAATTTACCCCTTACTACACTCAATTATAACCCTGTTACCATGGTAACTGGTAGATGCAATGCCCGCTCAACTAGGCTACTGAGTTATGTTATGCAAATGTGAAACACGTCATCAAATAATTTAAAAAAGGACACATCCATATTAGCACAAAAGGGTAGTAAAAAGTAGTAGGTATTTATATCCTTTACGTATGTATTCCAGTGAATTAGTATGTCACTTCCATAACACTGGAGGACTCACAATGACAATGGTCAAAAGCAGATCCTGACTTTTAGTCTCCTGTGCAACTCAAGCTCTTAAGACTGCTTCATACTGAAAAGCCTCGTTAGACCCTCAGTGCCCTTCATTAAGTATTTTGAGTGTGAAGCCCAGTCTGAGCCCGGACAGCTCAGAAAGCTCCCTTCTGAAACACAAAAGATGTTATTCAACTGTTTTCATAGATTCACTGGTACTTTTCCTGACAAATTAACTAAACCAGATGTGTAAAATCGGTGGAGCAGGCCTCCACAATATATCAAAACTACGATACAAAAAATTCAATTGCAAGGAAGTACTGCATTCTAAATCTTAAAAGTAAAAGTACTTAAGTATTATTAGTATATTTACTCAAAGTAGGCCAAAAGTAAACACTCATTTTGAAGCAAAATGGCCCCTCTTAGTGATACATTATTATCTTATGCTAAGCTATTGGACTATTATTACTTATGCATTAATGTGAAAACTGTATTTTAATGTTGTAGCTGGTCATGGTAGAGCTAATTTAGTTATTTACCATGTTGGTTAATCTATAACAATGTGTGATAGTTTATAAGTTATTCACCGGAATCTAAGTAAAATATATATGTTCTTAGTTAAATACCACCACTGCACAAAGGTCAATTGAACGAGGAAGAAATTGTTGTTTTCCTCATTTGACGACACTTTCTATGATAATACAATAATACGAGCAGTCCATGAAGGCATCTTAATCGGCATTCGATTGACAGGCACTACGGCCAACTGCTGAATTAGCACCGGCTTCTTTGTACATAACAGACCAATCAGCGGGCTCAACAGGACCGCGTGTCCCCGCCCAGCGACACACCCACAGTGAGCAGTAAAGATCACAAACCTGCATCACATCGACTGCCAGCGGGGACATCTGAGGTCCGTTAAACTGCTATAAACAGAGGCAGGCTCTTCCCATGACGGAGAGGAGGGGCCACAAGTTTAAACACCTAGAGGTCAAAGGTCGAAACTCATGCAGTGGTTATTATGTACTGGCAGAACACGGAGTTGATTTGCCCTGGTTTTTGATGGGAAGTCACACTCTGCTCACTTCCCTCTCCTGCTGAGTCAGAGTTCTTCAAAAAAAAGAGGGAAACTGAAATCCTTTCTCTTAGTTGAGTCAAACGTGATTCTCTTTTAATATTTCTCCTCAGTTCCTCTCTTCTTGTCAGTATTTATAGTGGCTCTAAACCACCATCTCTTGTCAATTCAGTTTCCTCTAACATGCCGATACAGCCAGGTTTCTGTTGGACTACTTTAAATGATCTGTGCAAAGCGACTTCACCAAATGTCCAACGCCACAGTCAGTGATGTGGGCAGTGTTTTATATTGGCAGGATGCAGATCTACATTTGCGGGGAAAACTGCAACCTTTCCAAACCCTCATCCTCCACGTTATGCATGACTCATGTGCACAGACACAAGCTGACAAACAGTTTGCCAGTGCCAGTCATGTTATTTCCCAATAGTAATTTTCTTATTTCCCAATATAACACAAACATAGTTCAGTTAACTATTTCCCAACTCTAGACACATACAGCTTTATCTAGGTGGCTTTGCAGCATAATTATATTAGAATTGTACTGTTTGACCATATAGAAGCCTGCACTTTCTACTGTATACTGGTTATAACAAATAGTTTTCTATCTGAACACTGAACAAAGTCACAGATACCAATCACAAGGATCACTTTTATGTTACGAAACACAGTTGGCAAATGGTTTGCACAAACTATAAACCCATTCAGTATGTGCACAGAGGGGCTTATGACTCTAACCGTGTGAGTGTGTGTGTGTGTGTGTGTGTTGGTGTCCCGAGGACCAGGTGGTGATGTTAGTGTTGCACAGGCAATGTTCCCCGGAAACAGTGCTGGATTCCACACAAGATTATCATCCAGTTATGAGGATAAAGCTAAAATCCTCCTAGATCAGCTGGGAACCGGCCACTGCAACTGGGACAACAAAACACACAAACAAGGGTGGTGCACACACAAAAAAAAACACACTCACCTTATTTTTTCTGGTGAACTTTTAAGACCATCTCATACAAACTATTACCCAATTAGGCTGCACTGTTCTTCTAAACATATGTTAAGTCCATTTCATTCCTCTTCAGCTCTTCAGGCATGTTTACAGTTTTCAAATCCACTCCTGCTGATTTGCACCCCTGTGTGCCCTCTCCTCCCCTGCACTTTACAGTGTAAAAAGCCTATTTCATAACCATACTGTGGTGGGTCATAAAACCCTGAAGATATTTTAATATTGCAATTGCCAAACTGCAGCATAATCTCTTCATTTAGAGACACATAACAGCCAAAATAACAGCATCCTAATTGCATAAGACGCATTCAAATACAGTCAGCCGCCCTCAGGTTCTGTCAGTCAGCAATTCAGTCTCCAGCTCAGACTTGACACTTTGCTTCTTCCAGTGACACAGACACACATATTTATCCTTGTTTTACTATATTTGTGGGGACCTGTCATTGAGATAATGCATTCCCTAGCTCCTTACCCTAACTTTGACCATCTCAACTGAATACTTACGCCTAACCTAAACCTAATACTATCCCTAAAACCAAGACTTAACCCTCAAACAGCCATTTCATCTTGTGGGGTCTGGCATTATGGTCCCCACAAAGCTGTCAAACCGGGCAAGCAGTGGACTCTCAGTTTTCGGAACCCCACGAATACAGTAAAACCATGCCACACACATACGCACATAAATCTACCTCATGATGGGTCTCCTTATTTCAGCAGCATGTGATTTTATCCATTTGCCACAATCTTTTTGAAGCTTTTTTTTCAGATGTTGAATATAGCGTTAATATTTCATTACCATACTGATGGAAAATAAACAAAAATCCTCCACTGACAAATTTCTAACACATTTGCTACCATATATAAACTATGATGTGTAAAACCAATGTATCAGACTTGTGTATTAAATGAAGCAAAAACTAAAAGATGGATTTAACGCCTATGAAGTCCAATGTTCTATTTAACGACACCAACCTAAGTATCATATCACCTCCTTCAAAAAGAATAGAAGCAAGACAGAGCGTGTGAGATGGAAGATGAAACTGCACTAATGTAATGTATTCTCCATCCTTATTCTTTGATGTGTCTATAATCCCTCACACGCGTTTTCTATATTTGGCTTTGAAGCTCCATAAACTAATCCTCCATTCTTTACCGTAACAAAACTGTTTGAATTGGCCAGGATTACGCAAACACACATTTGACAACTCACTGGCTGCCAGAAGAAGAAGTGCACCACTAAAATGAAAAGTCAGGCAGTTGAATTATGCACAGTTATTTGTATTTATTTATTTATTTGCCTCCTTACGTTTCCTTCACAATGAGAATATGTGACTGGGTCTAATAAGTGCGCACGCATGTGATGATGGTGTCTGTGTTTTGTGTTTGCATGTGTCTGACAGAGGAGCTTCTTATGTGTTTTAGATTTATGTGCATCATCTGCAGTGGCATACATCAGAGCAGGTTCTTGCCAGTTCTTGGCGGTCTTAGACCCCCCATAGTGCTCCGTCCCATCATCCTGCAGAGCTCGGCTTTCTCCCCTTACAGTGGAAGTAGTGAAAATATGTCTTTACTGTCAGCTGAGTGGTATTAAAAAAATTTGAGTCTTGATATTGACAGCATGATGACAGTTTGTGATGCTTGCGTGCATGCAGTATTTAAAGGGATAGTTTTTGGAAACAGGGAAAATCAGCTTCGGGACTGTCTGAACGTCACAAAATACGCATATCAGCATCTCTAACATTCTCTGATTAACACTTTATGTCACATTTGTTTAATTTGTTTAATCCTGGAGTGTTCCTGTTACAAGATCTGCAGATAGGCAGATTTTTTTTTTTTTACCACCAAACAACAGTGAGCTTGCTGTTTCTCGTTTTACCCAGTCTTTACAATAAATGAATGCTGGCAGGAGCCTTTTATTTAGCAAGAGAAAGAAAAGTGGTATCGATCTTTTCATCTAACACTTGGCAAGAAAGTGAATAAGTGCATTTCCTAACTTTTTTTGAAACACGGGGAGAGAAAGGTGTATGACATGCCAGCAGTTGAACCTTGGGCGTTGTGGTTATGTGGTATGCACGTTAGCCAAAATTTTCAATTATTGTTTTAATGTAAAGTACCCAAGTGTGACATCATCTTTAAGAAAAATGAATAAACATTGACAACTACAATGAGTCAGTTTAAAGATCAGTTAAAAGAGGATTCCACCAGATTAGCCTTGCACTTCAATGACATTGTCGGACTTACAGAGTCTGTAAAAGTTATCAAAGTGTCAAAATTGATGCAGCAGCCAGAGATATTGTGAGATTCGGGTGTGTTATGCTAGTAGTGGCTAATTTAGCTTCAAGCAGAAACAAGGAGCAGTTTAGTTCCAAGCCAAGAAACAACTTCTTTCATTTGCACTTTTACTCACCATTGGTGCATGTCCCCTTAAAATAAAAAACTGTATCACTTACAGGAAATAAACATGTAAATTGTGTCCCAATATATGACATGTAGTCTGATACCATATATATGATATATTATCAATGTATATTTCAGGTTTACCACCCCTTTGTGTGACTTTTGTGCTTCTGTGGTGCCACTGTACTTTAATGATGAATGTATTTGAGCTTATAGGAGTATTGATCATATATTCCATGTATTCACACGCAGATCACCAGCCCCCGAGGGATGTAATGGTGGTGAGCAATCAGTAATGAGTCATGAATATGAGCCACTGTAGAGTAGACCTACATTCCAGCTACCACCTCCAGGGCACACACTGACCCACACTTTGCTCCATCTTTAACCAGGCTCCAATGCTTCCTGCTGGGCTGTGACCAGGCAGCGGCAGGGGTGGAGGCTGGAGGGTGTCTCATAGTGGCTGCTGTGGCCTTGGGGTGTTTAAGAGAGGTAGTAGCACTCATTGACTGAGTTACTGCTGCTTCAGAGGGTATGAGGCCGGAATGAGTGTGTGTGTGTGTGTGTGTGTGTGTGTGTGTGTGTGTTGAGGGAGAAGGTCAGCAAGGAGTGGATATTCAGACACACACACACACACACACACACACACACACACACACACACACATTCATAAAAGACTAATAGAGTCCATCTGTGTCAGCTGACAAGAGAGGATGTAGAGACACCCCCATCCCCCACCTACCCGTCTCATCTTGGGATAACATATTACCCATAATACCTATGTGAGTTATGTTAATGTGGTTGTTTGTAACAATGCTCATTGGTTATATAGGAAAAAAAAGGAAAAATTTGGGAATTCAGGGGAAAACTCACTTCCTGAAACTAAAACTAAACAGAATTTGAACTGAATCCAGCCGTGATCTTAATGGTTCATGAAATTAAGATCGCTAGCAAGTTTTACTGACTCGCTATAGAAGTGGTCTGTCATTAAATTAGTATAATTGCCTAATTTACTTTGTGTGTTCAACTTCTCTGTTACCCTGTCACCTACCCTCTCTTCTCTCTAAGGGCATCCAGCACCTTGTTGCTATGGAAACAGCCTCTAAAGAAGGCAGACAGAAAGGGACAGGAAGAGATGCTGAAACGGCAGAAAAGCCTCTTTGTGCTCTCTGAGGCTCTCAGAGCAAATGGGCATGAAGAGGGTATAAAGGGTTAATCACACATGCACGCACACACGCACGCACACACACACACACACACACACACACACTTCCACCTATGGATAACTATATATAGCACAATAGATAATACATAACTTTTACTAGGACTGTTTGTTTTTAATGCAACACTTTGTTTCTTCATAAATAAATTGTATTTCTATTATCTACTCAATGTGAACAGTTCATTGTCAGTGAAGTGCTGCTCATGGTTATCTGTCTGTTCTCTGTTTTAGACCATTATAGCTGATGTATCCACTTCGAGAGTTAGATCACATTATGTATTCACAGATACAGGGATGTGCGTACACACAAAAACGGCCACACACATACAGAATCTAAAAACACACATGCAAAGAAAGCATGAAAACCCGAGCTTTTTCTTTTCTGCAAATATCAAACTAGGACACATACACACTGTTTCACACATACACACACACTCATGAAATCTCACTCCATTCTGTATCTGAAAATTGGATTGCCGCTCCCAACTAACTTGATTATAAACAGCCTTCCTCTCACACTGGGGCGGTATCACTTAATAAAGCTAAGTACATTGACATGCCTGTGCCCACACTTGTACACACAAAGACACATGTACAAACAGACACAGACACACACACACACACACACACACACACACACACACACACAAACCACTGCAGCTCTATATTTCAACCTTTTAAATGTGCTAGTCTCACTGGAAGATCAACAGCATAAAGAAATATTAACTGGAACTGAGGAGTGAGCAAACATCAGAGGTCAAAAATCAGACTTAAATAATCCATTATTCATTCAGCCAAGTCCTTTGTACATGTAGGTACTGGATTATTAGGATCTGAAAGCAACCAAAAGATCAAACATGACAGCATCAGGCATGTGAAAGGGCTTCTTTAAGTCAATACATTCATGTGTTGTCACAGCACAGCAGTATGTGGGACAGTACTGAGAAGAAAACATATAAACGAGCATGGGGATGTAATGAGAGAGTGTTACAGATAACACAACTTAACTTTAAACTTTTAACTTAACTGGTTTTAGAAATGCATTGTAGAAATTACAACATGTGACTGTAACTTAGCAACTTAACACAACTCTTCACATGCTTTGTTCGACATAGGTGGAAGCAGGTGTGAAATATTGTGCTTTTTTTTTTTATGATCGATGATGAGGATCATGATTTTGATCATGATCACCAAACACATTTTATACAGTCAACAGCTGAAGAAAAAAATAAAGAAATTGTATCATCCTATTACACTATAACCTAAGGGTTTATAGTGTAGAGTGATATTGTTCTGTTTACTGTTAAAGTTAATATGGCCACTTATCAGAGGAACATTTTACATACAAAAGATATGAACTGCTTATAAAATATAATTGTTATAGATTAAACTACCCAACACTATATAACATTGCTACATATTAATACATCATTAAAAACAATTTAACACTCAGAAAGGGTTTATTTTATATTTAATAATCAGTTTCAACTTTGGTATTTGGCAAATTTTGTTAATAAAGCGTCTGTAATTTCACTGAAGTATTTTTTTTCATGCAGGACTTTGAGTTGTAATTGATTACTTTGACAGTCTGGTATTGCAGCTTATACATAAAGGTATAAATGTTTCTGACACACACCCACACACTCACACAAAGCTCTTATGGTGTGTAGGTTTGTCGTGTTGGGTGGAGGTACAAGGTTCAAATTGTGGCAGTTTCCTTTGGATTTACATTTCGCTCTCTGTACTTTGTCTCAGGATGTGTCACCAAAATATAAGACATAAATTACCAGAGATTTGGGTAATCTGGGATTTGTTTGAGTGATATGAGGGAAAGTGGAAAACATGGAGTGATGTACCTGTGATATACAGATATATGGTGGTGAAGTTAGACTGCAACTCTGTAGCTCCATCTAGTGTTTGACTGTGGAACTTACAAGTAAGCTATTCTGAACCTCACCACAGGGTCTTTCCTTCACTGGCCCAGAGGCCTAGCTAGTCAAAAAGACCACATCAACCAGTTAATCCCCTTTTGTTATTTTCAAGGAACCTTTGTCAACTGTGGCACAAATAAGAATTCAGAGTATATTCAGAAAAAGAATAGATAATTGGGAGTCTATACCTGGGGATCTGTATAATCACTTTATTTTAATTTACAGGATAGGTTCCTGTTTTTTTCAAATCAACGTCAAATCAATTCTCACATGGCCATATGTACATAAAAAACAGCTATTGGTTGCTGTAACTGTTCCCATAGTTCATGCTGGCTTCTTGACAGAGAGATCCCTTCTTGTAAGTGATGGGGGACAAAATTCACAGCCTTTTGTGCACAAATGCTCATGTCAATATGAGGCTTTAGCAGTGGCTAAATCAAGTGGATATTTTTTATCAAAGACACAGTCATTTTAGAATAAAATGCCCTCTTTGTGTTTCCACAGACAGTAGCTTTGGTAATGTCTTAAGAAATAGTTTGGAAGACAGTGATACCCGCCTGATCTGACTAACTCAGACCACTGAAGCCTCAAATTAGCTTCAGCTGAACTCCATTCATTGTGGACTTTGTCCCACTAGACTGACGTCACTGTAAGAGGGGATCTCACTGGGCAGATGAGAATTGATTTACTTGAAAAAATGACCTGATGAAAATAAGAAGTGGTTTTGACCCAATTTACTGCGCATTCCGCTTTATATTTTAGATAAGAAAGAAAGGAAGGAAAATCTGAAATAAAAGAAAGTGATGAAGTAACCTATGGCCTTAAAAGTGAGAGGGGAGTTGACTTGCTTGCCATCTGGAGAGCCCCGCACCGTGTCACTCTATTCTGCGGATCTTTTAATCATGAATCATTTATAATGTGAAGACCGCAGTCTCCCCTGGAGAGGAAACACTCAGCCAGCTGATTCAGAGGGGAGAAATAACCATCCACACATTAAACACACTGGAGAAAAAACCACAGAGCTGCTGCGCCGTGGTCCAGTAGCCCAGTGCAGAGACGATTCACCCCTGTGGGGCGCTGACAGGTGTGCGCACCTTCCTCACAGGTGTGTTTTCTGCGGTGGGAGCAGCGACAGAGACCTCAGAGAAACTTCTTCAGCGCCATCACTCATTTGATCCAACACTTGATGAAGAGGATTTTTTGAAAATCTGTTCTGTGGCAGGAGATCTTTTTTTAAACAAGACTGCCACAAACAAGCCGTGCAGAGGAAATAAAATCCAATCACTTTTGAACCTATCCAAGAGGAAACAGCTGAGAAGCCCCCCTCCCCCCTCACCATGCTCCCTGCTCAGGAGGCGGCCAAGATTTACCACACCAACTACGTGCGTAACGCGCGGGCCGTGGGCGTGCTGTGGACGGTTTTCACCATCACCTTCGCCGTCATCACCGTGGTGGTGTTCATCCAGCCATACTGGATCGGGGACAGCGTCAACACGCCGCAGGCCGGATACTTCGGCCTCTTCCACTACTGCATCGGGAACGCGCTCACCTCGGAGCTCACCTGCAAAGGGAGCGCGCTGGACTTCGGCTCCATCCCATCCGGCGCCTTCAAGACGGCCATGTTCTTCGTGGGGATCTCCATGCTGCTGGTGGTGGGCAGCATCGTCTGCTTCAGCCTCTTCTTCTTCTGCAACGCGGGGAGCGTGTACAAGATCTGCGCCTGGATGCAGCTGGCCTCCAGTGAGCACCAGGGCGTGACCACAGTTTGTCAAAAGCTGCGCACAGGGAACTTTTTATATCATTCACATAAAAAAAAAAACATGCATTTTGTCTCACATTATTTAATATTTAGTATCATTAAATGCAGTTACTTGCCAGTAGTGGCTACAAAGACACAACAGTAAAGAAAAGCTCATCTGGCGCTACATGTGGCTGCCTATAGAGAAAAGGTGAGTACATTTGGGCCTCAAATGAAACACGGAAGCAGTAACAGCAAGTAAGTAAAGATGATTTAGAATAGAAGAAGATTTAGAAGCACATTAGTGGCTGTGTCTTGTAAAATCTGAGGGCAGACCAGGAGATCTATGAAAGGCCACAACTAAATGAAAAACCAAGCTGGTAATTTCAACATAAAGCATCATTTCAGTGGTTCCCTTCAACACAGAGACAGACGAGAAACATGAGTCTGTTTTTGAAACATGAAGCAGCTTGTGAACAGATGTAGCTGCAAGTGAGAGAACAAGCCTGTAATGAAACAAATAATGAGATTAACCTGGAGGTGTGCTGTTACACTTTCTTCACTTTCTCCCTCTTCATACCCAACACACCTGCCGTTCAGTGTGTGTGTGTGTATGTGTGTGTGTGTGTGTGTATTCTCTTTTATATGTCTGTCCTTGCAATGGTTAAATTAGAGTTTTAGACCTTGGGAGTGAGGACATTTTAGTCTCCATTTGGGACAGACCTTCAAAGGGCTGTCTGAGGGTTAAGTTTGGTTTTAAGGTTAGGGATACTATTAGGTTTGGGGTTAGGGTAAGGGTTGGGTTTCAGCATTTAGCTCTGATGATTAAGATTAGGGTAAAAGGAAGGGAATGCATTATGTCTGTAACTGTCCTCACAAGTATAGAAGTACAAACATGCAGGACTGTCAGATTCATTTTAATGCAGAAATACACAACATGCCGATAATTCAGAATTCATCGAAGCCCCTAGATGAGTGTGAGAGGTTTATTATGAGGGTCAAACTACAGAGTTTGATTTAGATTTAAAGTATAATGGCTGAGGGTAAGATACATTTTCAGTGTCTTTAGGATGTTGTGTAAATATAAAACTCTGTTGGCTCTGAAGAGTAGATAATGAATTCAAAAGGGTCGTTGGGAGTAGTGAACTTCTTTATTTAACATGTTTGATCATGCATCTGTGCAGTCTAATAGCCGAGTCCTAGTTGTTTCAGGGGGTGTCAACATGCAACTTCCTGATGTGTTAGTAAGCTGATGAGAAGTTGCAGTTTAAAATTCTTGATGTTAAGAGATTTGAGAGAATGCGTGTGAGATCTTCGGAGGTGGAAGGGTGCGAGAGGCTCAGAAACTGAAAGTGAGACGTGAGTGTGTTTGTGCGCTAATGTTTCACCTCGTCACCTGATAGTTCACATGTGGGGGTGGGACTACGCAAGGCCGGCTGTCTGTCTGCAGTGTCAATAATGGATGAACACATTCATCGTCCTGGAGCTGAGATGCTCTGGAGTTGCTAGGCAACTCATCTGTGCGTGTGTGAGTGGAGTGTATAAAATTAATTTCTCTGGTGGCATCTCTGTCTTGTTATTTCAGCTCTCGAGGTGGAGAGGGTTTGTGATATTTCCCATCAACAACAGCAAGATGCTCTGTTCCCAGTCAACATGTCATTCGACAAAAATACATTCTGTCCACAGGTTTCCACCATTAAAATCTATAGAGTCTAAATCTAATAGAGTTTGTGTATTTTACTCTAGTAACCACTAAGAAATTCTGTCAAAATGAATGGCTGTTGATGGAAGTACCTGATCTTAAACCAGGATACAGCACCAAACATCTCTTTCTCTTCTCAGGTACATGCATGGTGATTGGCTGTATGATCTATCCTGACGGCTGGGATTCAGAGGAGGTGAAGCGCATGTGTGGCCAGCGGACTGACAAATACACCCTAGGCAACTGCACGGTGCGCTGGGCCTACATCCTGGCCATCATCAGCATCATGGACTCGCTCATCCTCTCCTTCCTGGCCTTCAGCCTGGGCAGCCGACAAGACAAGCTGCTGCCCGAGGACTTCCAGGTTGAAGAGAAAGGTACTGGGGTGAAGGGAGGGTGGAGAAAACACTTGGGTGGGGGAGGAAGATGAAGGCTGGATGATGAGAGATGGAGATTCAGATGAAATGCAACAATGCTGGCCCATTTGCAGCCTTTGCTACAGTGAACCACCGCATCCTACTGCCTGTACTCTCTGACATGGGCATCTCAGGCAAAGCACTTTTCTTGGTTTGAACCCTCTCGCTGGGTGCTCCCTCTGTGTGTCATGGCAAGGGCAAACATCCGTCGTCTGTGGCGTTGCCATCCCTTCACACAAGGCAATCACAGTCCAGGCTGTTCTCATCTGTGGTTCCCTGATGGTGGAACAAGCTACCGAATGCTATCAGAGGAGGGGCATCCCTCTCTATCATCAAGAATCTCTTGAAGATTACAAGAGCGTCTCCTCTCCTAACACCCTATCTTGCCTAACTAGCACTTACTATGCACTTTCGGAGCACTTCTTTACCCGAGCACTTACACCAAGGTCTCCTACTGCACTGAGGCTTTAGTGATGTCCCTCAATTGTAAGTTGATTTGGATAAAAGCCTCTGCCAAATGAATAAATGGAAATGTAAAAGATTGGACTACAGGGAGTTATCAGGTGGGAAGATTAAGGTTTCAGAGAAGGTGGTGTAAGGGTCAATTGCTTTGTCTGGAGGGAAAACAGAAAGAGGTGAAGCAGAGGCTGAGAGTCCTTGAAACTTCAAGGACCTCTGTCTAAGTGTTGAATCACTGAGGTCTGAAAAAAATGAGAACAAAACTATCAAAAACCTCCCCCACATCTTTGCTTTTCTTTCAGTCATAGTTAAGGACTCAGTGGATAAATATTAAATCATACTCAAGGATTTCTCCATCACTCTGTTTTTTATTTGCCATTAGAAGAATCAGAAAAATATTTCAAAATTTGCTCATATTTATGCGCCCATGGTTTTTAGCTTGGTTGATATTTGTGATTTCAGGGTGAAATAGTTTGACAACTATTATATGGATTGGTATTTACTTTGCAACAGACGTTCAAGGTCCCTTAATTATAAATAAAAATGACTTTTCTGACTTTTCCTGCAACACAAAGTTATTCAGTGAAATATCTCACCATCTCTTTGATGGATTTGTACATTGCCCATGTTTTCCTAGTTGATGCATTCAAATGACTTATGATCCTTTTACTTACTTTTTAAAGTTAACATTTGTTTTTTATTTTTAATTATCTGACAACTATTGGACATCCATGGCCCCCAGAGGAAAACTGTAAAAATCCTGACCTTCTGTCTAGCACCATGGAAAAAAATGTATTTGTTCACTACAATACTAGATTACTAGTCTCACACTATATGTTCAAAACCTAGCTGAGCTACTGACACAATGTTATGTCATTGTCTGAACTGATGTTTTCACCTTATGTTTTCAGTAATTCTGCTTTTCTATTTTTCTAACTATAGATAATGCATAGCCCCCCTGAGGACAACAGGCACCAGAGATGGACAGGAACTGAAGAGGAGTACTGCTGACTTGGGGGACTCGTATATTCAAGGCTTCAGGACAGTTCATTAAAATAAAAAAATAACTAAGGAGGAGCACATCTTGTCCTAAAATGATAACAGCCTATGGACAGACATGTAAAAACATGGACAGTCACTGCCCACTTCTAGCTTCGAGCTTTAGATTGCCTATCGGCTGTTTTTGGGTAAAATCATTTAATATGTGGACTGTGCTTTCAGGCTTTTCAGTATAAATTACAGATAAATGTGAAGCTGCTCATAACTTTGGAGAATTAATTCTGAAGTGTTGGCTTTTCTGAGCTACAATATTAAGCCCTGAAATGTAAAAAAATGAAAATGTTTACTGTAATTTCTGATGTTTTAATGGCTGCAACTTCCTTCTAAAACATTCTCCAAATTACTGGTAAAATAAACATTTTACTTATTTTCCTCTCTCCTAAACAACAATTCTGTACAAACATTCTGATAGGACAGAAAAGAGTGTCTACAACAGTGCTAAATATATCTTGCTTGTAGTTATCTGTGTAATGCAGAGGTCATATTCATGGTCATGGCATCTTATGAGACATGTTTACACAAATCTCTGAGATAATATAAAATGATTAATGCTATACTCTTACACAACAGTGGTGATGCATGAGGCAAAAGCAATGCAGATAGATTTTGAAAAATGTTTATTCTTAATTACCTACAGAAAAAATGACAACCAAATGAAGAAGGGACACATGGACAGAAGAGGTTTTGTAGAAAAATAAGCAAAATGTTTTCAAGGGGATTCAAAGCATTATTACAGCATTTATATTTAGTACAATCTATTATTTTCAATCACACACCTCCATGTGCAGCGGAAATACTTGAAACTCAACTTTCATACAGCTGAAAAATCACCTGAACATTCAAGACATTTCTAAAAAGTGTAAAAAAAAAAAAACGCTCAAACCTTATAGCTTCTGCCTTCAGTGTTCACTGCTGACAGTCTCTTCCTGAAACGGTGGAAAGCTAATGCTGCAGAGAGGGAAGGATTAAAGGCCGACTCTTTGGTACCCTGTGCTGTACACACAGGGTGTGGATTCACATATAGTCTGACTGTTAATATGGACAATGGTATATGAAGCAGTTAGCAGGTAGAAAGTGAGCTAGGTACGAAACAGCATTTGGTAAGTTGTCGTTTGCCAACTTGTGCATGAAGTAAAAGAATCTAAAATTTTGTTCACATTATATTCTACCAGGTTTTTTTTTTCAAAACAATATGAAACAATGCTGAAACTCAAAAGTAATACCTATAACAAGACAAATCTGAGATTGATTTTGGATGAGTTTCCCCCAGACTTGATGCACAATGCTGAGATGTAATCCTGAAGTGCTGTCTGTATACAAATGTACAAAGTTTGTTTTACGGATAAAGCGAACTTAACAGTGCTAAGAAGTTTACTAGTCACTCTTCATGCCTGTTAGCATTATGCAGTTATTAATTCTGAGCACTTTGCACATAGTTGACAGCTAAAGGCATAAAAGTTGGCACGGCTAACATGATTACTGGCAAACAAATGGGTTTGGCTAATCAATGATCGAAATGTGGTTTAAATGGCAATCTTTGTTTCTGTTAACAACCTGCCTTCTGCTTTTGTAGACAAGTACAATTTCCTTTTAAATCCAACAGAGTCCTTTATCTATAGCTAAAAGTACAGAGAATAATGTGCTGCAGAGAAAGAGCAGGAGTCAGAAGAAAAGAGAAAGCAAAATCGGTAAGTCCTATGCAGCAAGTTAAAAGAGAGCCAGAAATTTAGGGAGAAGACCTTGAGTTCCTTCTATAACCAGTGTAATCCATAACAAAGACACAGCAGCAGTCTCTCTTTCCATTGTGTGGATGTTTGCGAGTGTGTGTAGGCAGCCTCAGAGAGCCAGGACAGGAGGATGCAGGCACGATGCAGTCACAGGCTCTTGCAGACATGAATGTGTTTGTTTATTGTACGTTTTCAATCCCAGGATCTTCAAACCTAATGCATCCCTTTCACAATATGAGGGGGGGGGGTGTGTGCATGAGTGGCCTCTAGGATGTGAGCCATGGATGGGAGAGGCACTGGGCAGCTGTGGCCCTCCTTTCAGGCACCAGGTCCAGCATTGGCAGGAGGAAGCTGCTGAAGCATTGGGCCTCCTCTTTGGACCACTCGTACTTTTCTACCAAGACGTCGAACAGACCCCACGGCTTCAGTTTGGTGATGTGACGCAGGTCACCTGGGAGAAAATATTACAGTTGAATCATTACAGTGCTAAATGCTATGGTTATAGGGATTATATAGGGCGTATAATTACGGTACGTATAAGAGTGTTTTTGGTTGGTGTAAATCCACTGCATCATTTCTATGATCTTGAAATAGCTGCATTGAATTTTATTTGCAAGTTCTGCCCTCAAACCGAGCAGATGGCCGCCCCCTTGAGCCATCTGCTGCTCTGTCTCAAATAGTAACTTTTGCACCAAATACCTGAGCATGTTTTAAGGATGTGCTGGATTTAGCTACAGCAGACAGCTGGTGGCAGGGTGAGTGTGTTTACCTTTCTTGGTGAAAAACTCCTTGGAGTATTTGCCTGCCAAGATCAGCTTTCGAGGAACTTTACCCAGCAGCTCGATGATCAGGGCTATGTGATCTACAGGGACGCAGAGAAACATACAAAAACAGATGATGAAACACCAAAGTAAACACAATTACTGGATTGGACTAGATATTAATGGGCTGAGAAATTGCAATCAGTCACCACTGACACAAATAATTGGTCTTTGTAGATTTTCCTTGAATGAATTTGGCATTCATACATACTTAACCCGTCTGGTGCACTGGAATTAACTTCTAATTGAACTCTGACATATGTTTTGGGGACAGACGTCTCTGGGGAAACTGATACTAACCTTCATCTCTGGAGTAGTCTTCTCCAGAGTGGGGTTCAAACAGATAATCTCCAGTAGCAAGTTCGAAGGCCTGAGGAAAAAAAGAACAAAAAGAAAATACGCACATGCGCGCACACACACAATAAGTCAATACAAGTAGATGGATGGGTTTAATCAAATACAAAGACCTGTGAGCCCTCCCTTGCTTATTTTGTTTTTATTTGTTTAAAGTGTGTCTTGTCTTTAGATTCATTCTGAGGGTCAGAAACTTCTGTTCTTTACTTACAAATTCTCTTTTGTGTAAGTGTATTTCTCTTCAACAATATTTGTGTGTGTTGTAGTTTTGTTTTAAATAAAGGTTTTCCACCTCCTGATCTACAGTTTGTTTCTAATGAATGGAAAGATTCCTGTCAAGGCAGCAAAGCCAAACATTACATGTTCTGTGAGAATTTAAAGGTGAGGAGTTTTTGATGACTAATGGCGCTGTACAACAATGTTTTGATGATCAGTTCCACAGATTGTTTGTAAGGGCGTGTGCAAAGGATGCACATGGATGCCACAAAATGGATTGACATAATACACATCTGCCAACTGCAGCACATAGCAATAGTGTTAGCAATAGGTATCAGTGAGCCAATAAAAGGAGAGTGGAAGCTAATGTGAACAACACAGTTTACACAGAAGCAAACAAACAAAATGAAAGTGTAGGACATGTCTGTAATGTATTTAGGATACACACATTGAGGTTTAATGACAAATGAACATAATGAAATTGCATTTGATTATGATAAAACTCAGGGTACCTTAAAGAGTTCAAATAACTTTTTTTTTGCTTTTCCAGTTAGTGTTTAAGGCAATGATTCTCCTACAGGTGTCTTGAGTGTGTGTGTGCGTGCGTGCGTGTCCGTTTTACCATGCAGGCTGTGCTCCAGATGTCTGCTGGGGTGCTGTAGCCAGATCCTATCAGCACCTCAAGAGAACGATACTGCCTTGTTTGAATGTCGTCTGTGAAATGTTTATGCTGTGAAAGGAAGACAGAAACCGTGAAAGTTGAAAATAAACATTAAACAAAATGCTGTAAACACCAGCTCAAAAAGTCAGACTTAAAGCACAGGGGACAGGAAGGTGACAAATCTATCAAGTTTCCAATAAGAGTCCCTCACTGAAAAATAAAAAGTGCTAATGTATATTTTCACTCACCACCCAGCAGGCGTTGCCGAGGTCTGCGATCTTAACCTGCAGCTTTTCAGCATTCAGAGGCTCCAGAGGGTTTACTAACATATTGCCTGATGCTCCTGTTAAAGAAAGGAGAGCAGAGGGAGTCCAGGACAGGGGAGGATGAGGAGGAAAACAAAGGGGAAGAATGATCAAAAAAAAAAAAAAAAAATTAGACACATGGAAGATGATCAAGAAAATCCAAGCTGGCTGACTACCTCCAACTCCACTGGGGCAGCCTAACGACTGGGGGAAAAAAAATCCCAGAATCCCATAAAGAACAGTAACCTTATACAACGCAACCTCTGGGTTTGTATTTTTTGGATGATAAAGCCGAACTCAAGAGAGAAGGCGGCTTTTTCAGTTAGTACAAGTTATTACTGATGTACCGGGATTAAAAGAAAATGCATCCATATGTATTAGACAACCTACCATAACCTTTTTTCTGGTACAGTGTGCTCAGCTCCAGCTCTCACTGAAAACTGCAGCCCACACTCACTGAGCCACTCCACCTTCAGCTACACTGATGTTTTTGTTTCCTCGCTGTAATGCACGTTGCATTGCGCCTATTAAAGCAAATTCTGATTGATGTGTTCTTAGATGCTCTTGATAATGTCATGCGGTTAAATGTGATATCAGATCCTTTCCTAAATTTGAAAATATATATGTTATGACAAATCAACTGGGACATTCAGGGTTTCTTTTTTAACTAACCATTCTGGCTGTCGTCATCTTCATCCCCTTTTTTGGTCTCCCCTTGAGTGTCCATCTCCTCCTCCTTTTTCTCCTCCCTATCACCCTCCTTTAGCTCTACAGTGACAGAGTCTGGGCTAAGGGAGGCAGGGAGCTGCTGCAGTTCGGTGTCCGGGTCCCCAGTCGAACCGTTACAGGTCTGATGCTCTTCTTTGTTACTTAATGTGTCGTGGGTCTCTGTGTGGTTTTCTGGTTGGTTTGCATTCTGTTGGTCCTCCTGCTCCTCTTTTGACGGCTTGGTCCCATGTACCTTGTTCTCCTTGCTGGCCTCGCTCTCTGGTGTGGAGGCGTGGCCGTTGTAATTCACTTCCATTCTGTTCTCCTCCTCGGTGACACCCTGTTTCCGTTCATTTCCTTCTGGCATCTGCTGAGGCTGCTCATCTGGAGTCGTGTCTGTGGCAAAAAGAAGTGTAAATTATTTGACTCAGTTTAATTCCTGCCACTGCAGATTCTTTAAAAACATAAATTCAACATTTTAACAAAAAAAAAAAAAAAGTTATCCATTGTCCTCTGTTTGAATGGGAAATAGGATGTGGTTGTTCACCTGTGATAGTGTGGATAGCAATGTCTTGCAGTGTGGCAGACATGGACAGGGTGGCTGAGGAAGTCGTGTCCTCAGTGGTTTCTGTCGTCGTCGTCTCTTCGTCATCTTCGTCTTCGCCTCCTTCAGGTGTTGCTCCTCCCTCCATCTCCTGGATCCTCTTCTCCAGCAGCTCTGCCTGCTTCTTTTGCTTCTTCTTCATCTTCTTCTTTTTGTTCTTTGACATTTTAGCCATCTGAAAAGAGAACAAGTGGAGAGTTTGCACTATGACATGACTCAAAATGTTTTTTCAACAAAGCCTCATATTACAAATCCAGTTTAAAAACATAACTTACTGGTTTGGGTGGTGGGGCTGTACTCACTGTAGGAAACAGGAAAGAAATCAGAGGATTACACTGGTGAACAACATGTGTGGCGTATCCTTCGCCTCTCTATAATTAGTATTTTGTTCAGGTGGCTGAGTTGATTCTCACCAAGCTGTACTAATAGAATGTCTCTGCAGAGGCACTCAGCTCAGCGGGAGTCACACACTCCTCTGAGCAAGCTGGTAATTTCCATAACCAATCCAGTGGTGACTCATGCACATGACACACAGCTAAGCGCTCCTCTTTTATTAGAAACTTCCACATGCTTTTAAGTCAAAACCCTGTAGTTTCTCAACGCTTGCATCACACACTGGTGAAAGATCATCTTACTCCCAATTTATAGCCAGTCTGTGCCTCCTGCAATACAGTCGTGAAATCAAGTCCAAATAAATTAGAACTTATTAATCATATCACTTGTTTATATAATGTCACATTTAATTAAATCAACACTTCTTATTAATGAACAATTTGCATTCCTACTGAACCACAAAATAAGCAACACATCAATCACAAAATGCACTGGGCCTGCCAGGAAATCTGAACAGCAAACCTCTTGGTCGTCAGCAACATGCCGATCAAACCACAAAAGTTGCTTAGTGGAGAGCTTAGGAAAAGAAAGGTTGTGACCTGCAGAACCCGAGGGAGGTGCAGCGCCGCTCTTCTGCCACTGCGTAGCTTCAGCAGCCATTTTCTTGACATAGGGCTCGTTGACAGTCAGCAGAATGTTCTCTGGTTTGATGTCAGTGTGGATGATCTTACACCTGGTGTGGAGGTAGTCTAAACCCTGAAGGACCTGCAGCACAGCACAGACACATCATCAGCTCACACTGAATAAGCCAAATACTTGATATGTCTTCTGCTTTGTTAAAAAAAACAAACAACAAAAAAAAAAACAGTTAACTTTGTCTCTGATAGACACACCAGTGTCATTTTCTGGTCAGTATCCTCAGTAGTGCTGTCTAGAATTTAACTGACAGTACATCCAAACCAAAATATGAAAATATGTTATTCCCAAAGCAGGAAAATTAATCAATATTTTAAAGACAACTTGTTTTGTGTTGCAGTGTTCTACCTGTCGTATGATGCTTTTAACACAGGGCAGGGGCAGGCCTTGATAGTTTGATTTGATGATCCACTTCAGCAGGTGATATCCCAACACCTCAAATACCATGCACACATCTGAAGAGATGCATGGTCAAGGATAAAATTCCCTTTCAATCCGAGTTCAATCAAGTCACAGTAGACACAATCCAGTAAAATTGATCACACACACAAAAACAAATTTTTCGGCAACCAAGCCTGACACTGACTTATACTGATATACTGATAACCTCACTGAGTCTTTGTAGACGCACATCATTGCCCATACCTTTTCCAGGCACATACTTTGACCTCCATGACCTGGTTTTTCTGTCAACATGCTTTAAACACACACCACAAGAGTTGACTTCAGTTTGCAGAGGATGTCTGGGCATGCTGCCTGAACACGCAGCTGTAGAGTGGATGGGGGGTGGGGGAGCGAGTGTCAGTGCATCAGAGACTGTGAAAGACGGGCCATACAGCTAGCCTAATGTCAGATGAACATCTGGGAGCCATGAATAGCAGCACAAAATGTGAATCTAGGTAAGAGTGCTGGAGAATTTAAACTGCCAGATGACAGTATAATCCTAACCCTGCCACTCAAACTGTATCCTGCCACTAATGTTGCCTTTAAACTAGAAACTGTTTGAGACATGTTCACCTTTTAAAATGATGCAGACAAACGTGGCCTTTCAAACACAATAACAAGGGTGACCTAAATTAATGTATAGCCCGAGGTGATGCAGTATTACCCTTGGACATTCAACACTAAAGTAGCTATTTGGCCTGGAATGAGTCCATGTCAAACTGAGACAGCAACAGTAGGGAAGAGAAAATGGAGGGACGCCAAGCAATTAAGTTGCGGCTGTTACAGTGTTCCCTTCCTTCACAGAATGACAGCTCTGGAAACAGCTGGCACAGTCAGAAAACTGGTCAGTATGCACCATTTTGTGTGTATGTATATATATATATATATATATATATATATATATATATATTTTTTTTTTTACACTAAAAAAAAAAATAAAACACACACTTTATTTGGTTTACAAACAACACATTGCTTTGTAAAACCTGCAACTTGACCATAAAGTGATCAAAAGTGGACGTTGTATGTATTACTCTATCCATAATTCAGTCTAAGTTCAGTCTGTTAAATGTAGGAAAAATGTAGTTTATATACAGGAAATTTAACAGTGGTTTTCTATTACTGTCTGTAAACTGCTATTTTCTTAACAAGAAGTTTCTTTCTCAACAGAGGATACGAGTTCCATTCATGCCAGAAATTTTGAAGTCGTCTAGAAGCTGAACCACTTTCTCTCTGCTGGGGTCACTGGGATCAGTGTTTCTCACCTGGAAAACACACACAGTATGAGGAGTTATGGGCTCTGAAATAGCCGATGTATGAGCCAGAGTGAAAATATTTATGTCCTGGTGACTGTGTGCCTTACAGATTTCAGCAGCTTGATCTCATCCAGCGCCGTCTCCGTGTAATGTTCAGCACTTTTTACAACCTTCATGGCTACAAAGCGCTTCTCCCTGAAGAACACACACACAATATCAGTAATTTTACTCGTCACAACACATGAACTTGCAGTAACATCAACCCTATCGGCACATATATCCACAAAACTTCTACTAATGTTCAAAGACATTATTTACTGGAAAAAAAAAAGCAATCATGCCTTTGCTAGAAACTAGTATACCTACTCATACATGACACTCAGTATGTGTCTTCTTGAATACTATTAGAGATGCAGACACTATTTTAGAGTATTACAGTGTTATGAAAGCACACTTCACTCATGACCTCTGCATGACTGTCTCAGTTTCACATAGTTGGGGTGAAGAGCCAACTTACTGGATGTCCCAGGCCAGCCAGACAGTGGAGAAGTGGCCCCAGCCCAGCTTACGGATCACATGGTATCTACCATTGAACAGATCTCCAATTTTCACATGGTGATATCCACCTGACCAAACAGACATATGTGTGCATGTAGATCATTTCAAACAATGTTGTTTTCATATTGTACATTTAGTGTTTGTGTGCATTAAGATGAAGCTGGACTACAGCAGGATTTGAAAAACCATTATCAGAATCATTAATAAACACAAGACGTTCTGCAAAACATGCAATGGTCTACTCAAACATTACGAATCAGGTTTCATCTGACGTCATCTGTGTATTATCACTAAAATAAATGCTAATACTGATGAAATTAAACAATATACCTATGCCTATATCTTATGAGATATATACACTTATCTAATATCTGAAGAGTGAACCAGTGTGAGAGAGATCCTACCCCTGCAGTAGTCATTGGGGTCCTCCTGCTCGTCGTCATCAGAGCCAAGGATCTCTTCGTCCTGCTCTGGGAGGGGAGAGTCTGCCTGACCCGGCTGAGAGCCGCCTCCACGACCATGAGGCTCTGGTCTGATGAGTGGGAAGAGAAAGAGAGACATGGACGGTAAGAGAGAGAGAAAATGGATAAAATGACAGACAGGAATGTAAAAGACAGGGAGGAAGGAAGAAATGTAGTGACACTGAGACGAAGGAGCTAACACTCGAAAATGTGTTTTCTATAATAACTTAACTCCACAGGCAAGACATTTTATGAAAGAGAGAGTAAGCTTTAATCCAGAGAAACTCATAAGTATAGAGAGTAGATAAGGATTCATTCTTAGTTTCACCAGAAGTACAATTAAGCAAAGCTCAAGAGTCGTTTAATATTTCTGTAATGGCAGTTGCGTAAGCGCTGAGGGACAGAGAAGAAAGCAGTGAAAAATAATAATACTTTCTTTTTAAAGACTACACAGTAAAAAGAGTGGGGTGATACAAAAAAAGACACTAAAGGCGTAACTATGCACTTATGTACAAATACTGACACTGATACTCGAGATCAGGGCAGTTACACCAGGACATTAATACTGAAGACCAATTAGTATCTGTCACTGATACAGGAGTATTTACCAGTAATCACAGCTACTATGTCTAGACAGAAAAAAAATAACCATTAAGTTAAAGTGACACTTTTTTTTCATTCCAGTATTCTGTTCTCATGTTAAGATATTTCAAGCAACTTTAAGGAGTATAACACATAAAACTTTTAATCAATTTAAAAAATTGTTTCACATTCTCAATAAAGGGGGAGTAAACACTGGGACAATACCAAAACCATTTGGTGATTGTATCAGCTGTAAGAAGCCTGACAGCAGCATTGCTATTACGCACCCACTCTAAAAAAAAGCAATCAGCATTTGTGCAAACCCATTACAACTACTTATTTGTTTAGATGTGTATTTTAAAAACATAATTAAAAGGAATCAAAATGTATGGTTAAGAAATATATTCAAGTAACAAGAGACATTTTCTCTTTGACTGTTTTTGTGGAACACACTGACATTATGCAATGCAGGTGTACAGGCTGATAAAGCCTTATACAGAGACATTGGTCGCCTGCGAAGGACACAGAAACACAGGAGTACAAAAATGGATCAGACCAGCCAAGTGGCCTGATTAGAGGAGCCGCCTCAGAACGGGACATTTTCAACTCATAAATCACTTCGCACCTCTTCTCCTCTCTAAACTTGAAATCCATATTTATGAAACTACATGTAAAAAAATACTACATCATCTCTTCCACATTTCTTCTTCTACATGTCTGTTTAAATGCGCTTCTACTACTTTTGCTTTGAGATATTATTATAGTTCTGATTTATTTGCTATCTTAGCACTTCTGAGACACACATCTCCATTACAGCACATTTCTAGAGTGGAATTTGAATTCATTTAAAACCGCACAACTGAGCAGGATTGTACCTATAACAGATATACATTTTGAAGCTTGTGAATCTGTGTTGTCAATTAGCTACACAATATGCACCAATTGCTGGGAAGGAAGGGAAGAGAGTTACTCATTTTTCTGGCTGGTGCATCGCCACAAAACCAAACAGTTTTAAAACAGTAAGACTCCTTCAACCAAGACCTTATATCATTAAACATTAACTGTATTGTTGAATAACTGATGTTGATTTCACAGTGCTTAAATGAGCAGGTTGTGTTGTGTGAATCTGAACATGGTGAATTAAATTATTAAAACCAATCCTCCAGTTGCTCATAGAGGACAGCATGTTGGAGAGTAACAAGAGACGAGGTTTGTTTCCATGAAAAGACCACAAACAGGATTTAAACTGGAACTCAAACAAGAAAAACAAGTGGCCCCTGCAGCCGGCAAAGGTGCAGAATGCAACTACAACCAGTACCTCCAGAGGAGAGAAAATCGCTTGGTGCTGTCCATGGTGCTGAAAGAAGAGACAGCACCGTCACTGTCTCTCACCTTATCCACACTACCCAGTCACAAACACACATTGCCAATTAACAACATCAACACCCTTCAACCTATCAGTCACAGCTAAAGATACTCGCAAGCGTCGCCTGTTGGCCAATCAGTCTATTATAAAGTCATATAGGCGCCGCACACACCGTACACAATTTTAGAATGGACTATTCTAGCCAGCATTCCTGTACAAACAGGGAGCATTATGATCCAATTAAGTAAGTAAGGTAACAGCTTCCAGCAAGAAATCCTGTCCTCTACATGCAGTGCAGGCAGATGTTTTCCTCATCAGCAACATTGTTTTTCCTTAGACCACTTCATACCTCAAATAAACACACAGTGTCTTCTTGCATACAAATCCATTTACAAAGCACAGCAGTCCTATGTGCTGCATATTTGGACTTGGTTTCTAAGCCTAAGCTATTGAGTCAAACAGAAAACACTGGTGATGGTGTTGAGAAGGATTTGGAGCTAATTAAAGCAAGTCAGTACACTATCTCCTATGCTATGTGACCGTCTAAGCAGCTGACTTTCCAACATACCCTCTAAGAAAACTGTATACTAGGAACTATCATGGCTTCTATAATTACATCGTGATGGTGGAGGCAAAGAAATAATGTTGATTGCTCTGGTTGATGGTACTTTGTTTTGATCTGCTTGCAAACAGTGTTAAAGTCATTAGGATTAGCATGCCTAGTTAATCGGGTCATTGGCTTAAGTCTGAGCAGAAGGACCACTTTGGCTGCATCTTAGCAAAACCATGCCAAAGCTGTGTCATATTTAGCCGCCTGATGAACTCAGCTGTTTGTTACTGTTCCTGGGGGGGGGGGGGGGGGGCACTACAATGTTGAGCTGAAGTGAGAGGTCCTTTGCTTCTGTGACAACAGGCTAGGGTTTTTCAAATTATCATCAAATTCAAGGATTTCTTTAGATTAGAGTCTGACTGATACAGGACTTTTGCTGCAGAAACCAATATACATTAAAAAAAAATGCAGGAAATTCTGCAAAATATAAAAAAGACAATATCCATAGATCTGTGATAATCCAAATATCATCCTATAATATTGGTCTGCTGATATATCTGTCTGGCTAATTTGAGTAGGAGGCATCGTCCTAGGAGAAACAGCTGAGACAAAAATATTTTGATTATTATTCATTCTGTTATAATGCTTTTACATTTTCAACTATCGGCTGTGAACATTTTTCTTAAAAAAAAAAGAAAAAAAAAAAAAAAAGGGGTCACTGAAGGGGGCATACCTCTCTCATCTCTGCTGTTATGTGCTCCGGACTGTTTTCAACCAAAAAAATGTTAGATCCTCTTTATGTTTGGCAGCAGTATTTACATGAGTAGACATCAAAACTGCTTTTTATGTTTGAAAACCATATTCCATGTTGTCATCAACGGTAGTTAAAGATGAATGTGATGCCTCCACGTCTTTCTCTCGGCCTGTCAGTGATTGTAGCACAAGCAACTGCAGCACTTACATGCAACAACTTTGTCAGCCAACACAGTGTGGAAAAGGCGAAACAACACTACACTTGTTCATTTACTCGCAAGCACACATAGTGTACAAATTCATCAGAACACTTCCTGGGTTAATCTCCTCTAAAGCCTCATCCCCAGTGCTTCAAACGACAACTCTCCAGTCCCCTTCCAAGCTTTAGAGCAATAATAACCACAATGAACAGAGAGAAAAAGTGGACTTCAGTATAGCTGTAATTTTGTCTTTCCACTGGGGATCAAATGATGACAAAATGAAATTTATGTTAGCGTATGAAGACTGACTGAAATGCTTCATGTTATTGCTAATGACAAGTGACAATAGTATTAGAAAACTGAACATAGGGACTGACAAAATGTCTTTACATTACTGAAGAATAAGATGAGACCATTGACACGTATCATCTATGCATTCTTGTTATTGAATGTATGATTGTTATTCTGCACTCCACTTTGTGTCTGAGCTTCTGTAGAACCTGCATTAGTTACAGTGCATGGCTTTCATGGTGTATCTAGTGAGAGGGTGGTGAATAGAATAAATCTAAACTAAAATGTTCACAAGTTTTTATTGAAAAAATATACTGATAACCAAAACAAAATTAAAACTACTTCACTGACTGAAAACTGACTAAATTTCCACAGTTCTTCATGACTAAGAATAAAAAGCCCAGTTTCTGTCTGCTAACACATAACATATAACAGACCTTCGATCGCAGGACAAGGACTAGATCTAAATATAGTTGCCAAAATGAACACTACGTTGAGTAAGTCAAGAGCAGGAAATGAGATGAAGAGACGGTGGAGGTTAGAGGGACAAAGTTCTGCATGAAAGAGAAAATCAGACATATGGAAATATTTAGCAAATATGCATTATATAAAAATTATCTAACCCAACAGGACTTGCATTTCTACATTTACTTCCTAGAGACAGCAGATGACCGTGCCTTTCAAGATCGTGCTTGCAAGTTTTTTTTTCCTCGCTGCAGACAGTTCAATGCCCTCAGATCGCCACACAACACCATAGACAACAATCTGGATACTTCATGGACTTCTGCAACACTTATAACATCTGAACCTGTTTCAAGATAACCTCCAACCATCTATGGCTGTCACTCCTGCCCACACACACATCCTGCTCTTACCTGCAAGATGCACGGATGCCCATGGGACGTGATGCAGGGAGGAGGACAGGAGAGGAGAGGAGAGCATGTAGGTGTTAAAAAACCTTCTCACTCCATCCGCCAGGAGAAAAAAAAAAAAGAGGACAACAAGAGGGAAAAGAAGAGGGATGTAGAGTGAAAAGTAGAGTGTAGGAGGAGAGAGCGATCAGTGTTGATAACTGAAAAGCAGAGATTACAGAGGAAGGGGGTGGCAAACAGAATGAGAGGCGGGAGAGAAGAGGAAGAGGATGGAGAGGAGCAGAGTGGGGGAAGATGAGCACAGAGAGGAGAAGAAGAAGAGGAGAAATGTAGAGTCCCTGCTGCAGGTTGAGTGCTGAGGCTGAGTCCTGGAGCACAGGGCACCACTGCACACTCCCTGACTCTCGCTCACTTTTTCCTCTCACAAAATCCCTCCCTCTCTCTCTCTCTCTCTTTC